CTAGATGGATGAGTGGTAACTTCACACTCCAGCCATTGTACCCTCGAGGAAGCCTCCAGACTAGGCAGCTTTGTTCTGAGAAGTGAAGAGTAAATATTCATTTGTGCTCACAGATCAGTGCTTCCAGAGCTTCCAAGGAAATGTGACTATTCAAGGATTGGTTTTCAGTAGCGAATTATCAGTTAGGAAGTGAGTGTCGGATTGTCATAATTTCTTTATCAGTTAAAAAGTCAGTGTCAGACNATAAAAGAGTCAAATTCCAAGGCTAGCAGCTGCAGGAGTACACATTTTAATATTATCCACCCATGTCTTGGTCTTCCTAGTGGTCTATTTCCTTATTGTTTTCCCACCGATATCCTATATGCATTCCTCTCTGCCCCATTCATGCTACATGCCCTGCCAATCTAATCACACACATAATAAGTTCTCCCTGGGCCTAAGCATGTCACAAATGTGTACAGTGTGTATCGAGGTCATGTTAAATACATATTTAACGACAATTCTAGATGGATGAGTGGTAACTTCACACTCCAGCCATTGTACCATCGAGGAAGCCTCCAGACTAGGCAGCTTTGTTCTGAGAAGTGAAGAGTAAATATTCATTTGTGCTCACAGATCAGTGCTTCTAGAGCTTCGAAGGAAATGTGACTATTCAAGGATTGGTTTTCAGTAGCGAATTATCAGTTAGGAAGTGAGTGTCGGATTGTCATAATTTCTTTATCAGTAAAAAAGTCAGTGTCAGACTTATATATATATAATTTTATTTTGTGTCTTGGAAGAGGTATAAACCTACTGAGCCACGATTACTTTGTGAGTAAAAGGCATCTTTGTCACTGTGACTTTCGGTATCAGTGTTGGAATGGCACTCTTTTTGACTAGTATTATAATTACTTTGCATCACTATTTTGCGCGTATTACTAACAGGTGAGAGTGTCGCTTTGTCAGTCAACATAATTTATTCGATTCTGCTGGAAACCCCCTTCCCCCAAGATGATTCTTTAATCAAACAAGGTGAATATCACCGTCACTGGCTTTTCTCGGGGGGGGGGGCAAGGTTATTTGGGGCCCAACTGAGTCAACTGGACATGAAACATTCACAACACTGGACAACCAAAGGGAAACAAAGATGTTGTGTGTGTTCGCTAAATAACAAAAGCAGGAGCACCATTTTCTATTGTAAAAAGTGTGATGTTGAGCTGTGTGGCACGGACTGCTTTGAGAAGTGGCTCACACGCGTCAGAGAGTGAGGTCTCGTAAACTGGGAAGTGACTCAGTTCAAACGCGCGTACAGTCTCAACAAAATATTATTGTATATAGTGTGATTATATTTACAATATCACCAAGTATCAAGGTTGAAAAAAAAATTACAGGTAAGACCTCTGGAATTTCATAACATAATAAAGATTATACTTTGCATTTCATGACAAAATAATCACAGTTAATTTTCGTTCATAAAAATTGCTCTTTTGTGTATATGTAGAAAATTGTATTGTCTTTCAGGTTGTTTTTAGTTTGTATTTCTGTGTTGCATAGAACGGAAAATATGCATTTTTTCTGAAAGTTTGCAATGTTAAAGACTTAGGGCGATTTAAATTCCGGCTGCAGAGGCCTGCCAGCAATTTAAAAGTCCGTACGTTAGAGGTTAAACAAATTACAAACCACAGAGATCACAAAACTGGGAAAGACCTTTGAAGAGACTGACTGAAAAAGCGATCTTTATCTCTGACTGCTAGATGATGATGATGATGCCTCTACTGCTGGGGACCACTGAAAAGCTTGTTTCTGCTCTGTAAGTCCGGTCAGCAGCTTTGCAATTTTGGCAAAGCTGGAGATAAACCACTGTAGTATGTACATAGGTCCAGAGAGCTCCTTCCTTCATGCTTGTCCCTTAGTGCACATGCCCCCCCCCCCACACGCATGTGCACACCCCCCTGCATGTGTGTCACATAAGAACATCAATTATTAAAGATGTAAAAATCATATTATATTGATTTTGTGAGCCTAACACCAGATATCTTAAAATTGCAGTCCCACTGGAGTTATCTCAGTGAATGTCCTATCATGAAAAGTACACAAGCTGGTGCTCCGTCATGTAGCAGATACATCTGAGAGACTTGACCAATGCCGTGACACATCAGGATAACTTCTTCACTCAAGATGGCTCTAGAGGAAAACTGCCAGACCTGTATTGTAGGTTTTACATGTCACAGCTTGTTGCCATGTGTTGTCAACTTGTCTGCACATAACATACATGTGATGCAGTTATCAGAGCCCCATCATACGAGTGGACTTTGTCTGTAGCTGGCTCTTTGGCAGCAGTGTCACTTGCCTTGCTCCTGGGGATACCCCAGGCACACAACAGAAAAAACAGCAGCATTTCTTGTACCAGTGAGAAAGTTGGTAGAGTATGTGAATTGTGGTTATGTGATCAGGTATTTGATACAAGTATACTTTAATGGCACTATGTAAGTCTGTGCAGATCAAAAAGTGTGTCTGGGTGTAACAACTAATGTAATAGCTCAGCATACTGAATACAGTTTTGCTGTGGCTAAAATCATGTTGGTGAAATCTGAAAATATGACCATCAGTAGCAAATGTGCAAACAGCTGATCCGCTGATTACGGATCTACTTACGTAGATCACGGTGTCATTTGAATAAACAGAGGTCACGCCAACAAAGCAATGTCTGTATATAAGGCGAATGGTGTTATGAACAATATACAGAACAACAAGTGTGTAGAACAAGAAGCCACACAGAAAGCGAGGCATGTCTAAGAGACAATACATGTCAACTTAATATGGAGATTCCCTACAAGTTCTTCGAAACACACTCCCACTGGTTGAGGAGCTACAGCGTTGGTCTCATACTTGTAATGAAGAGTCATAAAGAAAGTATACTATAAGATGGCTGATGAAACTGTGTTGCAAGTGGGGCTACATAACTGCAGAGCAGGAGGTCCCTCTGCAGGGAAAGTGGTAGTTCCTTCAGATTCCATAGAAACACTTACACAGTGACTGTGTAGAAAGTGCCAGTTTCAAGATTAATCTCAGCATTATGGATGGGATTTAAATACATAATTTGGACTTGGAAGCAGAACCATAAACGAAATTACCATTGATAACTTTTGAGCAAATCAGGACATGGTACAGCCAAAGCATTACTGTTCTGTCTCTGTAGCAGAGACATTACTCATTAGGGATCATCTGGCAGTGCTAATGATATCTGTTGCTATAATCAAGTTTTATAGGTTACTCATTCCATTCTAGTTACAGTGTAATACATACAAATGGGCTACTAACCTTCTCAACATTCATGTTGCGTCCATATGGTTCAACTGGCCAAGATATGCATTTTTTCAATGATAATGCTGCTATTCCTGAGTTAGGACCTCACCTCTAGCCCTGTAGTATCAGGGAATTTATAATCCCCTACTCCAAAATGATGAAAATTAAAAACATAATGTATCTTTCTAAGCGCTGAGTCCCTTACCATAGCAAAGTCCTTTTTTGGGAATAACCACAACAACGAGCTGAACTTCATTCTTCATTTTTAAAGAATTCCATCAGGTCACTGGTATTCGTTGTAGGAGGAAACATATTGTTTCGGGGCAAGGGAGGCCCAATGTCCATTCCAAAACTTCTTCCAATTTTTTGCATTTCAACTTCAAACTCACTACAACATAAATGTATCAGATTACACATTATTAGATGATTGCATACCCTACACAGAAGAATCATAGTTACCTTATATAATTCAATATTCACACAAATTTTCCCAAAATGTTATGATAAAAATTTTTTGAGCAAATGTTTACATGATTTATATAAACAGCCCATTATGGAAAACATAAACTTGTCTACCTGACCCATCTCCAAAGAAAGTGCAAAGAGTTCAAAACAATTCTTCACACCTTCCATTTATTTGAGGTTTATGTGACATCAGTAGCCTGGACTACGGACAATTAAATGCTACATTGTCAGTGAACAATGAACCAGATGGTCTGTGGAAGGAAACGGCATTTATCCGGGCAACAACACTGAGGGGAAGGTTGGTATCCCATCAGATTAAATTCAGGTACCTTCCAAATATGAATCATGCTACCTGGTTTCTGGTTTCATATAAAGTATTTTTATTTGTTATGCCATTTTACTAACCTCAAATCATCATCTGTTGTCTTTATGTCTAAATTTAGAATAATCCATTGAGTCAACTTGATACCGCTCAAAATTGATTCTGGTCCCCACACACCCTTCATGGTAATCACAGGAGTTCCTCTGTCCTGCAGTAAGAATGTTAATGTTAAGTTCTTTCCAAGTCTCTTGTGACACACAACACACTTCTCCATTCAGATTATGGCTTGTGTTTACATTCTATAGTCCATTATAAGATTGAAGCTTACAGATCAATGTTACCTCCTTCAAGATCTATAATCAACATACAAGATATAGATACTTAGATTACAAAAGAAAGCTATAAGAATAATTAAGGGGATTACAAGTAGAGAGTCATGTAGGAAACATTTTAGAGAACTAAAATTATTAACACTAAAATCACAGTATATTTATTCACTTTCTTTATTTGTGATCAATAATAGACATTATTTTGAAACAAACTCTGCCATTCACAGTGTTAACCTTTAAGAGACGACCATTTAAAATCCAGTAGTGGTAGCGGGACGGAGTTAATTTAAATGCCCGCCACTGTAGAGTAATAAAAATTGTAATCATGTTACTCAAAATGCTCAAAATGCATAGAACAGAAAATATCTATTTTTTTCTGATGGTTTGCATATTTAATTAATCGGGGTGATTTAAATACCGGCAACAGAGGGCTCCCGGCAATTCAAAAGTCTGTACGTTAAAGGTTAAGAGCAAAAATTCAGTCTTTCCACTCTGGAACCAACTTACTTTTTTTGGCGAAATGTGGGATAGTCTGAAATAAAATCAGTCTCAAAAGAACGTTTCCTTTCCTCCATTGGTAGATCAGACAGCTTCACTTCTCTTCTGAAAAACCAAAATCAAGAGAATTAGTTTTAAGACTGCAGTCTGCTGGGACGTGATGACACATAATGTGGTAGAGAGAAAACCCAATCCCAATAAATTTAATAGGGAGACTAGTCTCTCCCAAACTCAGAAAGCAAGTCATGGAAGTCTCTCTCTCACTCTCTCTCACACATGCACAGATAAACAGTCTGACAAAAAAGTTTGCGAACTCACCACAGTGTACTTGCCGTGGCAGCAGAGCACAGAAAACTCAGTATGGTTTGATGGCACTGGCATATCAGTGTTTCACAGTTGTGTTGTTGTTGTTGTTGATCTACGGCAGTCTCTTTCAGAGTGTGTTTTGGTGTGCCATTGGGAGAATGTTGGAACGAAGATTAAAAACTTGGCAAGAGTGGAAACAAAATCAGAGAGATGTTAGTGCAAGTTTATGGGGATAACGTTATGAAGGAAAGAGCAGTTTAAAGCAAGCTCTGTTTACATCAGTTCACCCTTGAATCATTTATGTAATAAATCTTTATCATCAGGTACTTTTCCTCAACGCTTAAAATACGCTATAATGAAACCACTTTTTAAAAAAGGAGAGAGAAAATGCATCTCTAATTACAGACCAATATCCATATTGACTTCATTCTCAAAAGTCTTTGAAAAAGTTATGTATAATAGACTACTTGAACACTTAAATTCTAACAACATATTAGTCAAAGAGCAATTTGGATTTAGGAAAGACCTAACAACAGAAAAAGCAACCTATGAACTAACTAACGATATTTTAAGTGCTCTCAATGACAGATTAATTGTGGGAGGGATTTTCTGTGATCTAGCAAAAGCTTTCGATTGTGTTAATCATGATATCTTACTATCGAAATTAAATTTCTATGGAATAACTGGCAAAGCTAATGAATGGATCAAATCATACCTCAAAAACAGGTATCAAAGAGTTGAAATAAATAATAAAAACTCCAGTCATAATGCATTTTCAAACTGGGGAATTATAAAGCACGGTGTTCCACAAGGATCAATTTTAGGTCCCTTACTTTTTCTTCTCTACATAAATGATCTATCTAAAACCATCAACAATAAATCTAAACCAATTCTATATGCAGATGACACTAGTATAATATTTAAGAACTCTAAATTTGAAAACTTTAAAAATGACATAAATATTGTATTTGAAGCCTTAAACAGATGGTTCGAAGCCAATTTACTCTCATTAAATTTTGATAAAACCCATTACATATCATTCACAACTAAAAACAACCACCAAATTGATCTGGACATCAGTTATGCCAACAAATTAATCTGTAAAGTACTTGATACAAAATTCCTTGGAATACATGTAGACAGTACACTGTCTTGGAAAATACATATTGAACAAATTATACCTAAATTAAATGCAGCTTGCTATGCGATGAGATCAATTAAGCCTTTTATGTCACAGGAAACATTGAAGATGGTTTACCATGCCTACTTTCATTCTATTATGAACTATGGATTAATATTTTGGGGGAACTCTTCACATAGTGTAATAATTTTTAAAATACAAAAGAATATAATTAGAATCATTACAGGATGTAGAAGTAGAGATTCATGTAGAGAATTATTTAAGAAATTAAAAATTCTACCTCTTCAATCGCAATACATATTATCGCTTCTCTTATTTGTTGTTTACAACAAAGATAAATTCAAATTAAATTCTGATGTCTATAACATGAATACTAGACAAAAATATAACTTCCACCTACCCTCATCAACTTTATCAGTATATCAAAAAGGAGTCTACTTTACTGGCATAAAAGTGTTCAACAATCTGCCACAAAGTATTAAAAACTTGGGCAATGATACTAAAAAGTTTAAATCAGAGTTAAAGAATTATCTACATGCTCATTCCTTCTACTCTTTAGATGAATACTTCAATGTAAATAGAGAATGATGTAAAATTAAGTTATATTAATTTTTAAGCTAAAATTGCCTGTACTTATGTATGTAACCTTTTGACTTGTTCTGTATCCAAAGGTACTAACCTGCTTAGGATTTATAGAATGTAAATAAAATCAATTCAATTCAATTCAACAAGTGGGTGACATATTTCTGAGGGAAGAGAAAGTGTCATTGATGAAGAGAGATCAGGATGGCCAGCCAATGAGCAGAACCGAAGAAACTGCAAGCATTCGTCAACATGCGCACGAAAATTGTTGGCTATCAGAAGCATAACAGAGCAAGCGAACATTGACACAGAAACAGTTAAGAATATATTAACTCAAGATCTTGACATGAGGAAGGTGCGTGCAAAAATGGTCCCAAAGGACCTGCTCACAGAGCACAGTCTGCGAGGGAGTTTTTAGCAAGTAAACAAATAAATGTGCCGAAACACCCTCCCTGTTCACTGGATCTGGCCCCCAATCCCGTCTTTGAAATGTTTCACCTATCTTCGAACACTGCTCGCACCCATGCACACACTTCCAGAAGCATGCTGAAGTCTCTGGTGAATTTCTGCAGCAGGGATTTCCTCTTTCACAAGAAATTCGATGACAGCACTGACAGCACGCTGGCGAAATGACATATCGTTGTCGGCCATTTTGTTAGGATACTGGTCACGCGATGCCTCAAGACTCTCAAGGTTAACACAACAGCTGGTTCCACCTACCACAGTACGTTGCTCATGACTTTTGGTACAACCTACGTATATTTCTTACAGTTTTTAAACTGTTTTAAACTTACCCATCGAAGAACGAACGGTACCTATATGCAGCAAGATGTGCGTAATATGTAGGGGCTGGGTAGGATGTACTGAGTGAGGCACGTGAGGCCACATGACATAAGTAGTACGTAATTTCTTCAATTTCATCTTGTGTCATATCATCACTATCATTCCATAACAAATGATATTTGGTGGGTCTGCTAACATCCTGAAAAAAGAAATTAAACTTCAAAGATACATATTTATTTGTATTCCCAATCAGCAGGGTGTATCATTCACATTAGGTGTTATCTGAGTGTCCTTGTAACCTGACAGTTATGCAAGCCATTTTGTTTCAAGTAGATCAGATGTTCCATTTAGTTTTGATAACCAGCTTCGTGATACAGCATGTTTCTGACTTGCCATGTTTAGTAAAGTTGCTAAAGGAGCGAAGGATTTGCGATAAATTCTGTTCTAAGTACGGAAAACAGCCTCTGAAACCCACAACATGTTGGATTAAGTGTGCAGTGATGATGCCTCGAGTCAAATGATTACCTATGTATGCTTCACATGTTTCAAAAATGGAAGAACTTCAATGAATAACGATGAGCATTCTAGCTGACCTTCAACTTCAAGACCCGAAACTCTGATCGTCCACATGAAAGACATCCATGGAAATCATCTGTCGACTGTCTGAGAAGCTGCAGAAGAGGTTGGAATATCCATTGGTTCACATCACAAAATTCAAATGGAATATTTAGGAATGCATTAGGTCTCAGCAAAATCTGTGCCAAGATACTCAACTGATGACCAGAAACTGCGAAGATTTCACATCTGTGAAAATCTCCTCCAAATGTCATTACTGGAGATGACATGGCTGATGCTGAACCCAAACAACAATCCTCACATTGGAAAAGTCCTGCTTTGCCTTGTCCCAAGAAAGCATGACAGGTGCACTTGTGCATGGAAGCAATGCTGCTTGTTCTTTTTTTCGATCATTGAGGCACTGTGCATTATGAATTCACTCCTGAAGGTCAGATAATTAATCAAGACTTCTATCTGGTGGTTCTGAGACCTCTGTGGGATGCGGTACGAAGAAAATGACCCAAAATGTGGACTGTAGGCAGCTGGCTTCTCCATCACATTAATGTTCACACAGTGTTCTCAATTAGAGAATTCTTGGAAAAACATTCAATTCCTATCCTTCCACAACCCCATTCACCTGACTTTTATATATTCCCTAAACTCAAAATTACCTTACAGGAAGATTTCAGACAGTGAGAGACATGAATGGTGTCATGAATGGCTTCTGACAAACATCCTTCGAACAGTGCTTCCAAAACTGGAAAAGACAGTAGGAGAGGTGCACTGTTGTGCCAGTGGACTATTTTCAAGGGGATAATATTCAATGTGCTCTAAGCAGAAAAAGATGCAGCTTTGACAAGAGGATTTGAGTGCAGGAAGCTGAAGAATCTCCCTCAGTAGAGGCCTTTGCCAGGAAACAGCTAGTGGAGAGTGTAATAGGCTGAGGACACTAGTCTGTGTCAGTGATCTGTGAAGTGTAGTTCCAAGCAAGAGTACACACGTGGTCAATAAATCCATTCACCAATCCATACCCCATCTATAGTCACACCCCTAAAATGTTACATTATTTAGAGACAATTTTCAGGAAATTTTTGAACATCCCCTCTTATGTAAATTGCTAAGTTTCAAAGTTCCTTGAAAATGACTATCTACATATACCACAGTAAGTGAAGATGGTCATTTACAAGATGTAACCTTGGTAATACACTGATCATAGTGGCTGCACTGTCTAAGACATGAGCCATCTTCACCCGCTCAAACACTTGGATCGTGGGTTTGCATCCCACTCAAGGCCTGGATGTCTGTGTGCATTTATTCTGTGTCTGTGTTGTTCTGTGTGCAGGTAGCGGCCTTGCGAAGGGATGATCCCCCAAACATGGAGTCATACTGACTGTGTACAGATTAAGAAACTGAAAAAATGGGCAAGGTCCACAAGGGATTTAGAGCCACAGATATGTAGGTTGTACCGAAAGTCATGAGCAACTTTTATTTTGCATGCAACCTGGGAACAGCAGACGAAAGAGAGTATGGTGGTAGGTGGAACCAACTGTTGTGTTAACCTTGAGTGTCTTGTGACATCAATAGCTTGCATCACGTGACCAGTATCCTAACAAAATGGCCGACAACGATGTCGTTTCGCCAGCATGCTGTCATCGAATTTCCTGTGAAAGAGGAAATCCCTGCTGCAGAAATTCACCAGAGACTTCAGCGTGCTTGTGGAAGTGTGTGCATGGGTGCGAGCAGTGTTCGAAGATGGGTGAAATATTTTAAAGATGGGAACACCAGCATCGGAGCTGTCGTCCTCGAACAGCCTCAACTAAACGCAACATGGAAAGAGTGGATGAGATCATTCAAGATGACAGGCGTGTGACTGTGGACACAATAGCCTGAAAACTTGGAATAGGGCACAGTGCAGTGTGACGTCGGCTCATGTCCGTGGCCTGTGTGCGCATTTCTCCCCTCTACTGTCTCTACTGTCCCCCTCTCTCCTTCCCTTCCTGAGCCGGCTTAGCGGCCTAACGAGTGGAGCTAATGGCTCTTGGCTTCCCAACTGTTGAAGGGGTAGGTTGTCCTCATCTCGGACCACCAGTCGAGGTCACCCTTGACCGTCCAAATTGAGTTCTCTACATAGTATTCAAACTTAGAACAGCGAACTCTGCAATCATTCTGATACAGGTATTTACATCATGTTTGTATTCTTTCTTTATTTATATATTACATTTATTCTTTGTTAATATCGGATTTGGTTATTTCTGTTTGGGTATTTCTGCCCTGCTGATTTCTTTGTCCTCCCCTGTTCGCCCTATCCCGTTCTCACGAGAACCTGTGCAGACTCTGAAGGGTAGCCCCGCTTCAGCAGTACAGGAGATGATTGAAAGCTCGGTCTATAGGAAAGTTTGCGCTCGTTTGGTCCTGCGGTTATTGACCGAAGACCACAAAGGTCAGCGAAAAGCCATCACCTCAGAACTGCTGCAGAGATATCGACACAAAGGCGATGATTTTTTGCTCTGTATTGTGACAGGTGAGAAAACCTGGTTTCACCAGTTCGAGCCTGAAACGAAACAGCAGAGTATGGAATGGCACCATTTGCATTCTCCATCAAAAAAGAAGGCAAAGACAGTGCCATCAGCTGGGAATGTGATGGGCACAGTCTTCTGGGATGCAGAGGGGTTTATTCTGGCCGAATTCCTGGAACCTGGGCAAACCATCAATGCTGCTTGTTATGTCCAGACACTGCACAAGCTTCGTCGTGCATTGTGCGATAAATGTCCGGGATGAAACATCATCATCCTGCATGACAATGCTCGTCTCACATTGGAAGCAATTGCAAAGATGGGGTGGGAAGTTCTTCCACACCCCTCGTATAGCCCTGATCTGGCACCCTCCGACTACCATCTTTTTGGATTTGTGAAGGATCGGCTGTGTGGACAACGTTTTGAGACAAGGGAGGCAATTCAGAAAGCAGTGCATCAGTGTCTTCGGATGGCTGGAACAGAATTTTACAGAGGGGGAATTCTAAAACTCCCAGAACGCTGGGAGAAATGTGTACAAAGAAGTGGCGATTATGTGGAAAAATAAAGAAAGGTCTGTAGATCGAGGTGGTGTATTTGGTTTGTCAATAATAAAGTATGTTACTTTACAAAGAAATTGTT